CTCTCGGCGGTCAGGATCGGTAGGTTCATCAATTGGGCAACGCCGAAGGCCAATCTTTTGTGATAGATCCATTGCACTAGAGCCCCTCCAGCCCCCCTGCCCTCCTGTGTGGGAGTCTGGGAGGGAACGTGGCCTGCACCTGCAACTGCAAGTTGTTTTCTTTTCCCTTTCCTCCTCCCTCGAGGCTGTGGTGAGGTAAGAGTAGATTAATATCTCCGAGATTCCTTCTGACTGGTCTGGCCTCTTACCTTCTCAGACTCGAAATCAAAATGTCATCATAAACATCGTCGTCGAACTCGCTATTGATATGCCACGGAAAAGCACTAGGTAAGGGTACCACTCTGTAGAGTTGCAGTCGCATGCCAATAAATATATTTTATATCTATCACCCGCACATCATTTGTGTCGCTCATTCTTATCAATCCGAGCCCTTGTGGTTCAACATTTTTGAGGATCCCAGGTGCGAGATTGACCAATACGTCTCCTCCAAGTTGACCCACGTAGCCTGTAGGTTATGCCTTCAGTTGGAAAAATTGCGACTGTCCATCATGTTTACCTCAATTCTTTTCTAACAACTAGAGTTTTATACAGGACACCTCGCTCGCTCAGGTGGACTTCCAAGCTATCTACTCCGTAGATACATACAATCGCGGCTCTCGAATGTTTAGCGAAATCCAACGAGCTCTCTAGCTTCTGTGCATGGACTTATGTTCAACCGTCGTTCTTGTTGGTTGAGTATTTGTGAAGAGGATGCGTCACTCTGAAGGATTCTTGCCTAGTAGACACAACTGGTCCACTCCAAACCGTTTCGGTCTACGGAGTAGAAGAGCAACAACCCCTCACTTATCTAGTGGACCTGACAAAAAGAGCATTTTAATTCTCTGCTAGTTGGCATGAAGCGAGCAGGCAGCTGAACCAGATTACCCTTGTTCCGGCAGAAGGGTTGTGGCAGACTGTCACCCTGGACAACACTCATCTAGGGGGTGTCATCAACACACTGAAGGACTTCGGAGTGTGTACTTACCCCTTCAAAGTCATGGATAGCCGCGCAATTATCTTACGGTAGTCACTATTTTTATTTGATTCTAGTACGGAGTAGACAGCCGTCAATATCCCATGCTCCTTGATTGGAAGGCAAACCAAGCCAGGGTTGCACGGTTCCTTGAACAACTGTCCTCGTAATGCTGATCATCATGAGCTCGAAACCAATGATCCTTGTCAGGCTCTGTCGACTGGGTGCGACCTATTCAACAGTCAGCATCGTTGGATCTACTAACTACTGGCTTCAGCATCCCTGCAATGCAGGCGAAGAGAGGCTAAATAAGGCGGTCTGTGTTTCACGAAGCTGAGATATGTGTGGAGTTAGAGAAAAAAATCATACAGAGCCATTGTTATTGTCGTTATTCCACGCTCGCGTTTCCCTTGACTCACAGATGGTCTGCGTTAATGCATCTGAGTATGGCCAATTTACAGAATCTTTCTTAAACATATGACAGTGGAAGAAACCATCACCTCAATATTAGCGAGAAACCCATGAGGCAGTCTTGGCCTTGAAGGAGACATTTGGAAGGCGGTCAGCATTGGCAAAATTCTTCAATAGTGTCTTGAACACCCAATGTGCAGAATCAACCGAGAGCATTTCGACTCCTTTTTCTTTTCCCTTTATTTTGATATATAGCCATTATATTCTCACTGAACGGCGCTATCAAACGGGAAGCATTGTCTGTAGAATAGTCAGAGTGTGTGGAGTAGCGTGCAAGACTTCAAGCCATCTAAGCCGCCGCCTCGGTACAGCTCCTCATCCACAAATCCGCCATTTAAGGTCTGCCGACGACAAAAAAGACGGCGCTGCATCTGATTCACAACAGGCGCAGTTGATAGAGCGCGCCTTCCTACGAAACCCTATAGGACTTGGCAGACTGTCCGCAGTCTTTTGCAGCTTCCCTACCTTATCTGGTCCTATCAAATCTCGCGAACGTTCAGGCCGTTGAAAATGGAGGCGGAACTCCAAGCACAGATTCCTGGCTTGGATCGTGTGATTTCGGAGTATTCTGTGGTAAGTACCCAGTTTGTCTATCGTCGCACTCTTTGATAGTCATGTCCTAATACGAACCAGGGCTATCTGACTCACGCCTCGAATGCTTATGTCGAGGATGCAAATGCTCCATCACCATTATCGGAAGCCGCCGACATGGTGACAGAGCTTCTTGTTTCCGCTTCTGGAGACTTCTCCGAACAGAATGAAAAGGCCATTCGGAACCTAGTCGAGAAATTCATTTCCTCACTAAGTTCTTCTGATGGCGTTGATGCAGAGCGCAGGCAGATGCCGTTCACCGCAAAGAAGCTGGATCAAGCCATCCATGTCGGCTCCCAAAGGAACATGTCCTCCACCCTGGGCCTTGCTGGAGGTAATGTCGATCTCGAGTCAGCAAACTCCAGAAAGGTAGAGTCCCGAGTGGACCGCAAGAAGCTCGAAAAAGCAGAGCGGAAGATTCGTGCCAAGCAGGAAAAGAAGCAGATGAAAACAGTGCAATACGAAGCATCCCGTCTTCTCAACCAGCCTGACAGCACTATGTCCTATGAAGAGTTCTTCATGGCTGTCAACCCACTTCAGCTGGGATCGGACTCGCAGTCTAAGAGCAAAGATATCAAAATTGACAGTATCGACATTTCCGTGGGCGGTCTCCGCATCTTAACCGACGCGTCCCTTACCCTGGCTTACGGACGTCGCTATGGTCTTGTGGGTCAGAACGGTATCGGAAAGTCTACCCTCTTGCGTGCTCTGAGTCGCCGAGAGGTAGCCATTCCCAGCCACATCTCAATTCTACACGTCGAGCAAGAGGTGCGCTTAACTAGTAACGCTCCCTCTGGAAGTTGTTGCTGACATCAGTTTTCAGATTACGGGCGATGATACCCCGGCAATTCAGGCTGTTCTGGACGCAGATGTTTGGCGGAAGCGTCTTCTTGCAGAGCAAGAGGTGGGCACCACTCTATGACCTCTTCCGTCGAGAGTGAGTTAGCTGACGACTTGCAGAAAATAAGCAGACAGCTTGCAGAAATCGAAGTGGAAAGGTCGTCCATGGCAGACACATCGAAAGATGCTGCCAGGCTCGACCACGAGAGGGAGGGTCTCGATATAACCCTGAACGACATTTATTCCAAGCTGGCCGAGATGGAATCGGACAAGGCAGAATCTCGCGCTGCCAGTATCTTAGCCGGTCTCGGCTTTTCGCCAGAGAGACAGCAATATCCTACAAAGACGTTCTCTGGTGGTTGGCGAATGAGACTGGCCCTCGCACGGGCTTTGTTCTGCGAGCCGGACTTACTTCTGCTTGACGGTAAGCCCCATGCCTCTCAATTTCCAGTCAAGCATTAATGTTGATCTAACGCGATACAGAACCTTCAAACATGCTGGACGTGCCATCCATTACCTTCCTATCCAACTACCTCCAGTCATATCCCAGCACTATCCTTGTAGTGTCTCACGATCGAGCGTTCCTCAACGAGGTGGCCACAGATATTGTGCACCAGCATTCTGAAAGACTGGACTACTACAAGGGAGCCAACTTTGGTAAGTATTTACTCTTTTGGACTCCAAATGAAATTACTAAGAGGCCGCAGATTCCTTCTATGCCACCAAGGAGGAGCGGAAGAAGATGGCCAAGCGCGAATATGAAAAGCAAATGGCAGAACGTGCCCATCTGCAAGGTCAGTTATTCTTTTTTTATTCCGGCATCTGGTTGCATGCTTGCTGACGACAGACGCCAGCCTTCATCGACAAATTCCGTTATAATGCCGCCAAGTCATCCGAAGCCCAGTCAAGAATTAAGAAACTGGAGAGAATGCCAATCCTGGAGCCTCCAGAAAGTGACTATGTGGTCCATTTCAAGTTTCCAGACGTTGAGAAGCTTTCCCCACCGATTGTACAGATGTCGGAAGTCACTTTCGGCTACAGTAAAGACAACCTGCTCCTCAGAAATGTGGAACTCGACGTCCAGCTCGATTCCCGTATCGGTATTGTTGGGCCAAACGGTGCTGGTAAGACTACGGTACTGAAGCTGTTGACTGGTCAACTCCAGCCAACATCCGGCTTGATCTCAACCCATGCAAGATTACGAATCGGTTACTTCGCGCAACACCATGTGGACGCGCTGGATCTTACTACTAGTGCGGTGAGCTTCATGGCCAAAACCTATCCCGGCAAGACAGATGAAGAATATAGACGGCATCTGGGAGCGTAAGTTTGACCCGAACTTTCTTCTTGTTTCCAGATAGTCCGTATCATGTCGACTGACGTTCGTCTTTTAGCTTCGGTATCACCGGAACTACTGGTCTTCAGCGCATGGAGTTGTTATCTGGAGGTCAGAAGTCGCGTGTCGCATTTGCTTGCCTGTCCCTGACTAACCCACACATCCTTGTGCTTGACGAACCTTCTAACCACTTGGATATTGAGGGTATGGATGCGCTTTCTGAAGCGTTGCAGAGGTTTGAAGGAGGTGTGGTGATGGTATCACACGATGTGACCATGCTGCGGAATGTCTGCACCAGTCTTTGGGTCTGTGACAAGGGCACGGTACACAAGTTTGATGGGACTGTCGATGCCTACAAGAAGATGATCAGCTCTCAGGCCAATGAGGCTGGTGTGGTGGCGCAACACTAGGGGACGATGTTGATAAGCTATTCATACATTGACCAAATTTAAGTCAAAGTCAGCATCAAAGCTTGCGGAGCGGCTGGTATCTTAATTTTATCAGCCTTTAGCCTTCATGGATTACTGTTGTAGGTAAAAGATTCGTCGCTGATAACATCTCAAGCACGGGCGGAGTGGATCCATCGGCTGTCAGCACCGAGAGCTTGGAGCCACGAATTATGATGTACACGTACCAATAAACTGCCTTGTATCCATCTCAAATATCGACAACCTCATGCCAAAGCAGTAGACCACTGTCTGCTGTAGTCAGTACACTACCAATGTCTAGTGGAAAAAAGAACCTTAAGCAATGAATCGGGGTGATGCAAACGATGAGTTGGCGCCCGATGCCCCTTTGCTGTCAACAGAGCAAGCGGCCGTTGATGACACCCCTCACCTTGCTGCTGACAGCCAGACCTTGATCTTGGACTTACGGGACTCGGGCAGCCTGTTTATTTGGGCCTTGACATTTTCAGCCGGTATAAGTGGGCTTCTATTTGGTTATGAGTAAGTTCTTCGGTCTCTTGAACACCTCTTTTCTGCGGAGGACAAATCAAGAAATTTCACTCAACAAATGAACTGACATATACGTCCTGTTCAGCACAGGCGTCATCTCTTCGACCCTCGTATCTATTGGCTCTGATCTCTCAGACCGTGTCCTGACGACCCTAGACAAGAGCCTAATCACATCTTGCACGAGTCTCTTCGCTTTAGTGGCAAGTCCGTTGGCTGGAATATTGGCAGATAAGCTCGGTCGTCGGAGAGTTATACTTGTGGCAGATGTTCTATTTACTCTGGGAGCCTTGATACAGGCCATTACCGGCCAAGTATGGGGCATGATACTCGGGAGAAGTGTTGTTGGTCTAGCCGTCGGTGCTGCGAGCTTGGTTACTCCGTTGTAAGTCAACCGCGCATCCCCCCACGAAGGAAGATGGGCCGTCTGAGACTACACGACTCTAGATCGAGGGGATCGTTATTTTGACGGAATGACTGACAATAACCTTCTCCAGGTATATCTCCGAGTTGGCGCCTTCTCATGCCCGAGGGAGATTCGTGACTATCTTGTGCCTCTTCATCACTGGGGGCCAGGTTGTAGCTTACATAGTTGGCTGGCTGTTCTCCACAACCACCAGTGGCTGGCGCTGGATTGTCGGCCTTGGAACTCTCCCGGCTGTGCTGCAATCCATCATTGTCGTTGCCTTACCCGAAACTCCCCGATGGTTGGTCCAGGCAGGCCTGGAGGCAGAGGCTCTTCGTGTGTTGTCCAGGGTCTATCAGGGCCAGACTGACAATCATCAGATTGCTAAGCAAGTCGTGCGCAGTATTCAGCTTGAGGTAGCTGAAGAGGAAGAAGAGATGGACCGCATTAAACCTAGTATCGATTGCGGTAGGAAACCATGGCTTGGGAAAGTTGCAAAGCGTGCTCAAAATCTCTTTCGCGTTGGCGGAAATAGAAGAGCATTGATCATCGCCACCATGTTGCAAGGACTACAGCAACTTTGCGGCTTCAACAGTCTCATGTATTTCTCGGCGACGATCTTTTCAATGCTCGCATTTTCCTCGCCCACCCTTACGTCTCTATCTGTGGCTGTGACCAATTTTCTCTTTACGCTGTTGGCGTGTGCGCTGATCGATAGAATTGGCCGGCGTCGTATCCTGTTATATTCAATACCTGTCATGGGTGTATCACTAATTGTCTGTGCCTTGGCTTTCGGCTCTATGGAGCTGCCACGATTTTCTTCTGAGCCGCAATCACAAGCCCAAGCCGACAATGGCGCCACGAATAAGTCGTTTCTTCCAATCGCTATTCTTCTCTGCCTCACTGTGTATACCGCCTCCTATGCTTTTGGACTAGGCAACGTGCCCTGGCAACAGTCAGAATTGTTTCCCCTGAATGTGCGTTCACTTGGATCGGCTCTCGCGACTGCAACGAACTGGGGGTCCAATTTCATTGTCGGGCTTACCTTTTTGCCCATGATGGATTGGCTTTCTCCGGGTTGGACATTTACTGCCTATGCGGGCGTTTGTGTTGTTGGATGGGTTGGCGTCTGGGCCATATATCCCGAAATGAGCGGCCTTAGCCTGGAGGAGGTCAAAGGCCTTCTCGCCAACGGTTGGGGTGTCAGAGAAAGTTTGACAAGGAATCGCGGTAGGGTGCAAGTTGGTTAGACTGAACTTGAATTTAGGTCTATGAGCAGACATCCGTCTAGATCTTACTGGCTTCTATTCCAATTTGGAACGAAGCGCTCAACCAGAATTTTTGAGAGCCTTTGGCAAAAGTATCTGCCTGTAACTTCTGAAGAAGGGTGGCGATCTGCCCTAGCATGACCGGATTACCCATTCTGTATCTCTGGAGGCCCTCTTACACTGTTTGACGCTAGGAGCCATAGTTGCCATCATCACTTCATTGACCGCATCATCGGCCCAATCTGGCTGATCTCTGAAGTATTGATTCCCACCGGTTATTCCCACTTGAAGTTTGAATAGTGCGACGTCTGTGTCTCGCGGCCGACTCCTTTCGACCCCCAAAGTAGGTATGGATACCGTGTAGGCAGTCATCACTGTTGCTGTGGTTCGATTGAGGAATCCAGGACTCGATACTTGGTCTTCTTCTTAGGAAGATAAAAGGAAGTGGTTCCCAATTCGCGCAGTCCAAATTGGCGTGCTATGCGCATTTGTCGACTGAGACGGAGAGGCAAAGCGAAATATCTGCTCCCACCAGGGATGTGCGTGCGGGCTCAGAGGCAGACGATGAATGAGATACATCGAGGCTGAGGGGTCGCCTTGAATTCTCGCGGAGTGCAAGACATTAAGTGAACATGACAATTTGGAAGATGCAGTCAGACGACCGGCCTGAGATGAAGCCGGACTCGCGGTTGTCCACCAAGTCATCCACTTACCTCATCTTCATCCCTTTCAATTACCAGAGACCAGTCATAGTGGGCTCACTTTTGGTTTGATCAACTCTTGGATATCTCAATGCGGCGAAGCGCCTTTTCAACATCCTTGTTGGTCATCCCAAGGAAGCTGCGTCTCTTATTAACACATCTTTGCATGAGACCAAATGCCACACACGCTTCCACACACGCTTCTTCCACACACGCTTCTTCACAAGCAAATATGTCCAGAATGTGCGGCAGTCACGAGTTAGCTAACTACCTTGACACTCAAGGCCAACGTCGAGAAATAAGCCGGCGAAAGACAGACCCACGACCTCGGGGTCGTCAAAATGCAAGTCCTTTGCTGCAACTTCCAACAGAGGTACCTGCCTTGAGTTAATGTCTAGATGGACTAGTGTCTGACGACTTTAAAACAGATAATCCAGTATATTGCATATATTCTCCCGTGCGATATCGATATAGTCAATCTGGCGTCGTGCTGTGTCCACCTAGCTAGGGCGATCTTACCGGCTCACTCGTCCATCTGGCGCCAGCGATTCCAGGACCTTTACGGTATCCCTCAGAGACGTCCTTCAAGCGAGCTAAAACTGGAGTATCAGATACGTTCTATTGTACTGTCTCAGAAAACCAGCTTCCGATACGGCCAGAAGAAGGAGCAAGCATTGTGGCTGGAAGTGCTGAGAGACATGCTTCTGGAGGCACTTGAATCAGCCCCAACAGATGAACAAACTGCTTCCAAGCTCCTCGAGCAGATTCGCAAGACACTCTACAACTCGGAATTCCTGAACAGACCTGTGAGCGGATATGGCGACACGAAGGCCGATGCCCCCTCTGAGTTGTTTTGCGCTGTTCAGCTAGTAAGCCCTTTACCCGGAATATGGGTCTCAGAATTGGACACAGTCTCACCAAACATTCTAGTGCCTCACTCATCTGGTGTTGGACCCGTCTATGGCCTTCTATTGCCTCAGGAATGACTATGACATTGGCGCCGTATATTCATTCCAAGGGGATATTAGTGAGCCGCTTGTGAGTGTAGACAAGCTGGACTTGGAGAAGATTCTGTACATTCGCAACTTCTGGCTTCGCCATCTCCTCAATCCGAACGAAGCGACATTCTACTCCTCCTATATATCGCTGTGTCAGCGACCGAATGCCACGCGATCTCTGGCCAACAGCAAATCTTGCGTTAGTACCCATTGGTTGGGGTATTATTGTCAGTTATCGAGGACTCTTTGCTCTGCTGAGCACCCTACAGGAAGAAGCTAACCTGAAGTGATCGAATCTCTTTTATAGCGTGCATCCATCCGTATCCAGATTCGCTGAGTCGTCTGGAACACCGTCAGACATGCGCTGATCTGGAAACACATTGGCCGCAGGTGGACCCTATGGTAAGGCTTACATACACATCAGTCATCTTAGCAGGTAGCTGACATCGGGTTCGCATTTAGTCTTTGCGAATCAAGCTGGACCCTGACCCGTTAAACTGGCCGACCTTATTCGACTCCATCATCCCTATCCTGGGCTCGGGAACGCATTGCTCGTACTTTCGTGGTATTGAGACACAGCACGGATCTGATGACGATTCAACGTACCTGGTGCGCGGCTTTACAGAACCCATCCCCACGGCTCACGGTGGCTTCCCCAATTGGCGGCGTATATGCTTTGCCATCTACGATGCGGACAGGGAACAACTTCCGCTTATACAGAACGATGATGAGACATCTGGAAAGGGAAAGGTTGACCTGTGGCTTCCAGAGGAAGCGTGGCCGCCATATGATTTGGAGGTCGAATTCAATTGGATCCATGGATACGAGGGAGTCATTCTCCCCAGTGGAACGATCATGATCGGACGATGGATTGATATGGTAGAACCGAATGCCCGAGGCCCTTTCATATTCTGGAGTATGTGACGACTAATTTTGCGTCGAGACAACTCGCAAGTTTCGGCGGTGGATACTTCTTGCTGCTTCCATGATCCAGTCTTTCTCATGATCCGCTGTTCTAAGTGTTTTCTCTCGTCGGGAAGAAATGCGATGGAATGCAGGATGGAGACATCTTAATGGACCAGACCTCTTTCACCATTTAATAAGATGGGAATATGATAACACGCAAATGAAAATCAATGGAAGGATTGATCAAATTTACTCCTCAATGTCCTTTACCTTCTCCCATTGTCCCTTCAAATTCTCTTTCCACAAGCTGACCTTGTTGTCCCCTCCACTTACAGCAAGGATGTTTCCACTAGGGCTCCAGCTAACCCGCCACAGGACAGTATCGAATTCCAGCTGCTGGCTGGTCCATTGGCCGGGGTTCGATGCGTCAGAGGTCCAGATCCGCACAGTCTTATCCTGAGACGCAGAGGCGACGTAGGACTTGGACAGAATGCTGGGTGACCACGCGACGTCACGGACCCAGTCCGAATGACCTTCCAACGTCTGGCTAAGATTGTAAGTCTTGCTTTCTGGGCTATAATTCAAGTAATTAGTACAGTCGTCGGCTTCAAATCCAGGAAGACTGGAAATCGTCCCGGGCAAAACGTACTTGTAATCCCATATCTTCAGCAGATTGTCACTGCCACCGGTAACAAATCTCCGCTGCTGACCCGGACCAGGGCTCGAGCTGATCAAGCTACCAGGAGACGCTGCCGGGGCCCAACTGATCGAGTTCACACCCATTCCATGAGCGTGAAAGATCTGATGAGTCCAGCTGTTGTCGCGGAACTCGAGGACACTCACATGCCCGTCTGAAGAAGCGCAAGCAAGGAGACATCCGCTCTCGTGTGGAGCCCAGGAAACCATATTGACCGAGGCAGTGTGGAGGGAGAAATCGAAAACTTTTGTCCAGGAGCTGCCTGCAACGGGGGATGTCGTGTTTTGGTGCTGTTCACGCCAGATAAGGACTTTTCCATCGTACGACGAGGAGGCTAAAATCGTGCCAAACTTGGGGTGAGCCTGAGGCGAAGAGTAAACAACATATTAGCCATGCGAACGAAACGGAGACTCTGCATGAAGAAGGACTCTCAAACCTACCCATGCCACACACCACACCGCGCCTTCGTGTCTTTTGTTTCCACAGATGCCCATGTTAGCAATTAGAAAGTTGAGCCAGTAGAGTTGAGGTAATTCACCCTTTCAGCGTCTCGACCAAGCGATGTGTCTCCCCCTCGATCTCGAAAATCTTTATTGTTTTATCCGACGAACATGTCGCTAGTCTGCGGCCATAATAGTCCAACCCGGCGTCGTGCTGCAAGAAAGGGTCGGTGAAGTTAGTCCCGCGTGTCGTGATGCAATATCATGAGGTTGACATGGCGCATTATCACGTACAATCATATCATCATGACCAGAGTTCGAAATAACCTGAGCAGCTGCCTTTGGAGATGTCAACAAGAGAACAATGCGAAGCTTAAAGGGGGAGAAGAGCTGCCGGAAATAAACATACCATGATGACCAATGGGACTGCCCAAAGCAAGTATTACTGCGAGAGAGGGGAAAAATGGCTCGAGATATATATATCTCGCTGTACTGATGTTCTAGACGAGTCCGGGGAGAGGGGAAGATAGCGGCGGTGGAGGATCGAAATCAACATGCAAACAGGTACTCCGTAATCCGTACCGCCAGCTTGTTCGTTTCACTGTTCAGACTTGAGCCGCCGCACAAGCTGTGATCTTATCTTATCGGCTGAGGCTGACTCAGCGCTCTCCGGTCAGTGGTCACGCCCAGAGGCACGTGAGGCGGGCCTCGGCTTTGACACGGTCAATCTACCCCATGGGCGTTGTTCTACCCCGTCTTTATCTTGCCTCTTCATGCCTGTTACATGAGTATAATTCTTCAGTCCCGCGAAAGGTACTTTTCTACTTTTTGAATAGACATATCTTTGGACATATTTCTGTTCCGCACCTGATTGCAGTTGAGGTGTAGCGTATAGTCCGTTCTACGATCGATCGCCCGTTTCTTCCACCTTCCGACTTGTTCTCGCCCAGCTACCGTGCTGCAAGTCACTGGCAGTATGAGTGATGCTTTGTGCGGACCATCAAATGCCTTGCAAAACTTCCAGAAACATGCATCTGTTGATCGGACTCTCCAACAGGATCGGCTGATCTCCCGCCGGTCGCCCTCTCAGGTAAGCAAGGTTGCGACTCATCCGGAACTCTTTTTGATTTGGATTAAAGCGGTCGGCTGAACATTCTTCTTTGATAGGGCTTCAGATCTCAGAATTCGAGCGACGGTGTCCTAGACCCCGAGTTTGCTGCTTTTGAGTCGGATCTGGCCG